GGTGTGAGAGAGGTAAGTTTTTAATTTCAACAATCGTGGATTCTTGTTTTCTTTCATGGATAGACTTTGCACACTATATAAAAGTGATCAGTAATCCTCCAAAATTCTTGCATAAAAGATTTAATTTTTAAAGTAAGAACGGAAGCTTTCTAAAATTCTCCAAAAGCATGCAAAAAATGTTAGTCAAACTATTATAAAGGAATTTACTAAACTTTCCTGTTTATTAATCTTTGTAGAATTTATTCCGACCTTCTTGGTGAAAAATAACTACACACACACTTCTTCTTAACGATCGTTCTTTACTTCATACATAATCAAGTAATGGACAATGGTCCCGAAATGATCTTATTGTCATACAAAATTCTTGTCATAATTCCCGGGTTTAGTATAAAAGTTGTTATTAGCAAACATTTACGGCGCGGAGAACACATCATGGTTTATGCAATGAAACCCAGAATGGCTTAAGCTAGATTAGCCCAATCGATTCATAACGTTTTTTGATATGAAGTGTAGCAGGGTCACTTCTCAGTCCGAAATTTGTTTCAATTTTCTCTCTAAGAATATACTCCATTAAACTCAGACTATACCTATGAGTACACCCTGTAGGAGAGTGTAGCGCTCGAAGTTGTCCTATGAAAAATATTTCCATTTTTGTTCTAACCATTGGATTGACGAAATAAATGAAGTGGAATAATAAAAAACAAGCAAGGACGTTATAGTCGGACAAGGCCGCCTATTAGTTACCCTACACCACTTGCCCTAATACAGTCACTTACTCGTTTTGGTAACAACCCACCAAAAGTTACGCATTACTCTATCCAAAATCCAAATTCGGTAAAGTTGACTTCTACGTCAAGTTGCTATTATGAACTAATTTCCGTTATGAAATATTAAAAATTACTCCTTTCGGTTATGAGCAGTTATTTGCGAGAGGATTCAATAAATGGAACCTGTCGGACCAGATTTTTCATCATACCAATTTAGAATGTCCAAATACTATTAGAGAGCGAGTTTTGTAGAGAAATTTCTTTCAAAATAGGGCGTGGTCAAAAAAATGGACCGATCCAAACTATTTTCAGTAGCGTTCGCCCTGTATACCGAATTTCACCAAAATATTTTAGAAGTTGCGAACTGCAGCTTGCACGCAAACTTCCGTGGGCAGACATAAGACGGACAGACAGGCCTAGATTGATTCAGAAAATGATTCTAAATCGATCGATATAATAAAAGGTCGATCTATCTTAAGCCTTTCTGCGTACTGCGTACTCTGCACTACAAGTCGTGTAGGGTATTAGCACCTTTCGATATAAAAACTAATGATTATATCAGAAAGAGGTCATGCAAAAAAAAAATCATTTACTGATATGTTTCCTTGGTAATACCGTTAACTCTGCAATATGTCAAGAATAAATTATTATTATTATTATTATTATTATAAGTTTAGCCAGAGAATAAAAATACTAAGACTAAAGTCTTAAAGCACTAGCATCTAAGGCTTTCGGCTTCATTAAAAACTCTACCGCACTTGAGGTTTGAACCCACGACTATTGAGTTGCTAGTCGAGACTCTTGCCTACTCGGCCACTCAGGCGGATCAAGAATAAATTAAGCAGCTAACTTGGAGCTAAATGGATGTAAAAATTTGAATAGAATGAAGTCACTCTTCTTAAAACTCCTTCGCAGATAATAAACCTTTTTGCGGCAATAAAGCTTCATTTCTAGTATGGCATGACGAAAATTGATGCAAGATAGTTATCCGACGCATAACCCTACAGTGTCTAGCTGCATTCTCGGATCCTTAACAACATAAAAGTTCGCAAACCCAGGTTCTCAAACAAAGGTTGAAGTAAGCCTTCACATGGCAACAGATCCAAGTTATAATCTTTTGTATTTTATGATAATAATTTATAAAGAATTCTTTCCATTCGATGAAGTGCATCTGGTAGAGGGGACGACATTACAAAAATCGAATGTTTCAACGAATTTTCAATTTATCAAAATTTCCAAAGTTCCAAAATTTTAGTACGTATCCTTTCCCGTACATATTGCTAGCTAAGCATTTCTTTGCATGTATTCTAGCGCTTATCTCTCCCTTCGATTAAATGTCAAACGAATTACAAAAACTTTTTCTAAAGAATAAAATAATTTCCGTGAAATTTATTATCCGATATTCTAAGCACTTTAAAAGGGAAACTTAATTGTGGGTTAGAAAATAAATATGACTCATAGATTAAATTACTTTTTGTTATTGAATTTGCCGACTTTTAGAATTTAAAGTTGATTTTCGATAGCCATTACTCCTCAAGCGCACTTTGTTTTTTTTTCTTAAGCATATCAGCAGTCGACTAACCGGGGACCCGTTCTTGCCTGGCCCCTATATTGGCAGGAATCAAAAACATGAACATGAAGTGGTTAGAATATAACAAAACAAATTTTATTATCAATTATTTTATTATTCTTCGACTATTTCCGTCACGAACTATTGGAGAAATTAGACTTTGCTGTTCATGACAACTCTTATGTGGCCTGCTATGCGAAAAGTATATCTCCGAGTTGCGAGTTAGTTACACTTATCAAGTTATTATCGTGGAGCGATTTTCTTCATTAAACCTCACATATTACATCTTTCTGGCATACAAAAAATTAACACTAATTGTGGGGGAAAGGTTATCACCCTGTTCCCTGTTACTTGTACTGTTTTCAATATACATTAAACGCTAAACGCCATTTTTTTTACCTCACCCACAGTATATATTAAGTTTATGCGGATGTATTCAATACGCAGAAGGGCCACCTTTTAGTATATCGATCGATACAGAAAGTGATCCTGATACTTGTCTGTCCGTCTACCTTTCTTATGTTCAATCCACAAGGCGCAATTTTTGAGATATTCTGATGAAATCTGGCACACTGACCCCTTTTGAGTCAAAGACGAACGTCACTGGAAATGATTCGGTGTGACATTATTTTTTCGACCACTTGCCCTGTAGCAACTTATTTTGAAAAGTCATTGCGCTTATATGCATATAATTGTCGGCTGGTGTGGGATGTGAAATACTGAGCGGTGAACCACTACAGCGTTTTTACGTATTTAAATTATGTTCATTGAAGTTAAAAATGAAAGCTTCTTATCACTATTTTATATGACGTAATGGAGTTTACAGCAATGTCAAAGATATACATATGTCCTCTCATAAAACAATTATTGTTATTAAATGTGGTAACTTGTGCCCAAAAACTGTGCGCGTGGCATGAAAATCGTATTTACTTATAAGCAGGTTGGCAGAAAATGTGGGATATGTAAAGGAATAATTTTTAAAAAAACGGTACCGCTTCCCTACAGACCGAATATAAATATGCCTCTATAAGGAAGTCAGCGAGCCTTCAAATCGATTCAGTAAATGAATTTGACGTTCGGCTCACGCGGTGCACTCAAAATTGCATATATCTGAAGACCTTGTAAATGTTAAACAAATCCATAGAGAAAGTTAATATATTATTTATCTAAGTGGTAAAGGGTATAACAAAAAGGCTGCAAACCAATTAAATAGAAACGTCTATTATGGAAATTTACAATTGAAAGGTGTGTGTGTGTGTGCACTCCCTTTCCTTCGGCGTGGCGTGCGCAAGATTATTTACCTACGTCATCGTACACAAGCAAAATGAATGAATGAAATGAATCCATGAAATTCGAAATCTCGAAGAGCTGAGCATGCAAGAAGAAGAATCTTGCATTGACAATGCCCTGACAAACATCTACAGTTAAGTTATTGCCCGTAAACGAAAACCCAAGCGATGAGTAAAAGTGACAAGAAAGCAAAAACGGCAACAAATTTTTGAAAAAGAAATGAAAAGAAAACATGACGACAACGTATCATAACTGGGATAAGTAAACCTACTCTACGAGGTAAGCTTAAGCTTCAGAAAGAAGAATTTCTTATTTAGTAATTCAAACGCGTCCGTATGCTAATTAAGAATATTTAGCATATGTATGTTAAGTTGTATTAAACAAATTATTATTTAATGCCCGAATATAATGTACCGTAAAGTTATCTCACTGTTTACATAGCTAAAGACATTGCTATTGACTAAGGTTAAGAATTTGAAAGTAATTAAAATTTTAGCTTATGTCAGAGTTTTGGAAAAATTCAAATAATTTTAATAATTGTTCGTTTGCTGATCTAATCTTACCTGGATGATTGATCAAATTGCTCTTTTTTTCTTTACCAGTTTCAAAAGAAACAACACTGGCCGTAATAACCTGCTTTTGAATAGCAAGCCTTGCCTTACACTACTGCTTTTGCCACCAATTTTACCTTTATTAGTTAAAATGAACTAACTACTAATCTGTTCCATAATTATGACCATAAATGGTTCTTTGCACTGTGTGTTTATGAGATGAGTTTACATATGAAAATTTCATTTGTTCAGAGCTGTATTGTATGTAGCATGATGTAGTAGTAGTACAAGTCGAGGTCTTGATATTTTCCAACTTTTTTTTATTTGTGTTAGATATTCTTAGTGCATGAATGAAATTCATGATAGATAGATAAATAATGTTTATGCATGTTTTTTCCATGGACGAACAAACACAATACAATGTAAGCAGAAGACGCATAATACAAAAAACAAACATGATTTATAAGCTCTGATCTACCGTTACACAGTACTCACCATCTATGAATACCGGAACATCTATCTCTTCAACTGTAGCAGTAGGCGGCATTGCTCCACTCATTTCCGCATGTGAATGCGACATCTTCACATCGGCATTTGCCAATTCTATCTCGGCCATCGAAGTTAATGTCGATGGCTTTCGGTTTTCCGAGCAATCCAAATTGATTTGGTTTATTGTGCTCGGTTTTGTGATAACGCTTTGGTTCTGGCTTTGATTCGTATTCAAATTCGATATCACTTCTAATTGATTTAGACTCTGAGTCTCTGTTGTTTCTTTCTTTAGCGGTAAATAATTCAATTCTGTTTTCTTCACTAAAACGTTTTGCATTCGAGACCTCGATAAAAAGGGCACTCTTATAATTTTTGTTTGTGGTTCTATTTTCACACTTGTCGTTGTTGGTGTCTTTACATTTAAATTGTTCTCGTTCTTTGACACCACTTCTGGCATTAGCTTTATGTATTGAGTTTTCGTAGGCCTCGTAAGCAAAAATATTCTTGTTTTCGTACTCGTTTTTGGTACCTCGACAAATGCCTTCAAATTGCTCTTCTGATCGCAATTGGAAGTTTGCATCGATTGCACCCTTGTTATTGGTATTGATATCATTTGTGTTTGCGGCTCCCGGATCATTAATATTAAATTTTTCGTTTTCTCGGTTTTTTTGATTATTTTGTTCGGTGGCACCGTTGTTGTTGCTGTTGTTGTTGCTGTTTTGATTGTTGTTACTGGAAATGCCGCTTCTGCTGTTATCGTTGGTATTGGTATTTGCATTGGTATTGTTTGAATATCTTTTTGGCCGTGATTGGCTGCATTGGATATCGTTGATGTGGAAAGCCATCTTGAACGAGGCTACATACATTTAAGTTTAATATGTTTTTTAATATATTTTTTTATCCATAAATTTTCAAACGTTTTTCAAAAACGTTTTCCCGAGAAAAGGTACAACAAGCAAATTTTCGTATATTATTTTTCGTATCATCCAACGAGTACGTATGTACGTATAATATTCCATTAATGAATGATTATTTTTATATCATCATCAAATGAATAAGTTTTGCGGAAACCAGAGTGTTTTTATTTTTATTTTAAGGATACGGAAAAGTTCGTGTTTTGTTTATAGAGTTGAGTTAATGAGTGGAGCAATTGCGTTTTAAATGTAAAAGAAAATAGAAGAAAATATTATGTTAATAAAGAAAAACCAAATCCTTTCATTGAAGGAATTGTTTTCTAATAGCATTTCCTAAAGTGATATCATCAAGTTTAGTTTATATATATATATATACAAATTTACATATATATAGATATATGTATTCAAGGATGTGTGATCAAATTTTTATAATAATTTATGGCTATTAATAAATTATTTAAAAGAATTTTCTTTTGACCGACATTAACTTTTGATATCACCTGGAACGACTTCTTTAACAATGATATAATGATGAAAAATTATTGATTATAATCACTGTGCGAAATGAATTTAAGATAATATAATAACAAAAAAACCAACTTATACTCGATTGCATTATTATTAAATTTTACTTATATAATATTATTATTATTGTCTTGTGGTTTACTTACTTTTAATTCACCGTTGAAAACAAGCAATGAAATCTTAAGGCGACCTCTGAACAAACTCTAAAAAGAGTCCTTATGCGCACCACCACCTATTTCACTCACACTGCAAGTATATAGATACGCAAAACAAAAACATTAGTTATTTTCAAATTTATTTAATTGAAATTAAACGGTACATTTTTTCATTTCATTTATGCAAAGAGTATTTTCACATGTTTATTTGTAAACATAATAATATTTACATGCAACTATACACTTTATTCGGCTAAATTTACTACAAAAAAAAAAAAATAAATAAAAATTTGAGGTTAGTTAGAAAACAGTAAAAACACTTTGTCATGATGACTCATTTTTGCCCAACGTAAGAAATAAATACAATATGCTCTTTCTAAATTCCCCTTTAATTTTCATGTCTTACATACGATACATTAATGCGAGAGTAAATAAGTCATTTATTTCTCTATTACTCTCCGCTCTCTTTTCAATTTCATTCAATTTTGATTACTATCAACGACGAATTCGTTGCAAAACAGTTGTTTGCGATTATGGTAGTAGCGTAAGCAAGAGAGCGGAAAGATGCACCATGAAGTCTTTATTAAGTGCACAAACAAACACAAAATATCGATTAAATAGAAGTGTCAGTATGTATGCGAATTAAATGCAAGAGAGCAACATGTCTATTTTGTTCTTCTATTAGTTCAACATTTTTTACACCACTTAATAGAACGTCTTCTTTCTTTAAGAGAATAATTTTCTCCCACTATCCTATCTTCGTTATGCTTCATATACTCTTTCTAGTTTCTTAGCAATATCAACCAAATTTTATCTCAAATAAACACATGAAGCAATTTGCTTCTTGTATATATTATAAAATTATGATGTCTTACCCAATTGTTATTCAAATTTGCGAAAAAAAATGTTTTAAAATTTCAATAAATAAAATAAAGATGGCAATTGAACAAGAAATGATTAGCTGAGTTCGTTAAATATTGGAAACATTTCGATATAGGTATCGGCGATAGGAATATCGAAGGAAATAATTGAGCACAGGCCTTTTTCTTATTTTCTTTTATGGTTGGCATAAATTGAAAAATAGCAATCAAAGCTATCAAGTCGGATTAGATATTTTAAAGGGGGGTTCCCCCGCTTTCTCTTACCTAACGCGTTTACCCTCAATTTTTTTTCGGTTTCTTGAGATTAAAGAGACAAAGCCAATAAGAATGCCCTATATATGCCGACGCGCCGTTTTCTTCAACGTTTAAAAATAATTTGCACGCAATCAAGATTTCCTAAAGATTGCTGTAGGGTGTTCTATAACAAATACGGAAGGCAATGTTTTGGTTATCAAAATAATTTAGGAATGCATGTTCGTGCGTCATACCACCCTCATCCGCTCAAACAGCGAAACAGATTCTCTTATCTTATCTCGCTTTCGTGTTAAATTCATGTCAAAGTTACATGTTTGCAGTCGCACGAAAATAAATGCATTACATAAAGTATAGTTTCGCAACCAATATATCACACATTGCCCTTAGCCTTACTATTTACTGCGGTCTGCGAGTCAAGTCAATAGTTTTTAAAGCCTCCGTTTCAAAATATTATTATTATTATTTTAATTTTAGACTAATGAATTGAATTCTTAGACTAAAAAAAATTAATGCTGAAATGAAATGAAATTTTTATGTATCTCTAACATATTCCCTGATCTTGGTAATGTCAATCAATGTCAGTTCTTTTAACTTGGTAACAGCCATTGTTTTTTGAAATCCAAACTGTTGCTTTGTGGAAAAACTTCCTACAATTTGACGACAAGTATATGAGTACGCTGCCATAGATGTTAGTCACAATTATGCCACGACCTTATACTATTAACTAATACGCTAATTCTATTTGGAAGTAAGGTATACCACAATTCATTATTGTCGTTGGTACTATTGTTTGGTTGCAAGCCTAACCAATTAATTGAGAATCCAGGTATAAAAATAGTTAAACAAGTCCGAAATGTATACTAAACATGTATACTAAATATATACGAAAGGTTTAAAATATTTTAAGATCGTCTCTGAAGCCTATTTGATGAGTCAATTTTTTACCATTTTTGTGGTTTCTTCAGTCTCTTGTTAAAAGCAAGAAATTGAATATTAGGTGATTATGGTTCTCGCAATACCCGCCCTTGGTTCAAAACGGTATTTTGTTTCATATATAGTTAATTGCTTATTGAAAGTTATTGCTTATACACATTAAATATATCTCCTGCTTTCAACAATAGATTAAAGAATACAATTTTCTGATAATTGGTTTTTTAAACAAATTTTTAAACATGTTAAGATAAAAAATTGCCCACTACTTAATCGCTGGAAATATATAATCGGAAAAAATTCACGCAATTAGAGAAATTCCCGCAATAAAGCTTTTTATTTCCCTTTCATTAAATTGTCTTTTGAAAAGCTCTCTACAAAATTTGTTCATAATAAATAATTAATTATATTAAACAGTTTACATAAATAATCATTGGGTTTTTCTTATGTATTTGTTTTTTCTTTTCTTGTGTTATTATTGTCGTCGTTATGAACGAGTAGCTATATCGTTAGCAATTCTGTTTTTCTAGTTATTTTTGTTATGTACACATTGAGAAGAAAAAAAAATTACAATATGGCTGCCGGCAAAAAGCTAATATGGCGACAATTGCGCTTTATTGAATGTGTTCAAACAAAGAACATGTTTTGCACACAGGTCTTGTTTTTTGTGATGTAGCTAAGCTATTTGCAATTCCTATACAAAAGAAGCTACACATATGTGTGTATAAATGGGTGTAGGTATACATACATTTATTACAAATACACATCACAAGCTTTTCGTTTGTACGCAGTACAAAAAAATTCTTAGAATTTGCTTCCACTACTTAATTCCCATCTGCATATATATACATACATATATATGCAATCACATACGTGTCAATATTTATTTTAGAATATTACTTGGAAACCGATTTTATTTAATTGTTCGAAAAAGTTTAATAAATTCGATTCATTCATTGGAAACCAACTCTAGCATTGATGATAATAATGTCGTCTATTTTCAACTTACATTTAAAAAATCTGCACAGATGCAATTAAAATTGAAGGCAAGAAAAAAAAATTTGTAAATCTATTTATTTTTATTTTTTTTTTTATCTTTCACAATTTGCTTTTGTTAAGAGAAATTTTTCAATTACTTTTTCTTTATTCCTCTTTATTTTTCTTCTTCTTCGTTTTATGAACAAAATGGCTATTATAGAATTTTTCTTTTATATTCTTTTTTCTTTTTTGATATTCAGATTAAAAAATTATTAAATTAATTATCAAAATGTAACAAGTACACGACTTTTATTATTATTATCAGATCCAGAATTTGGATGAATTTTTCTGTTAAATCTCACTCAATATAAATTTAGGATATTTTTCTTCTTTAAAGTGGAGAATTTTTTTTCTTTTGGTTCACACTGTATAACAACGTACACTTGGATTTCGCTCGAACGCGATTTTAAGACAAACGCTAACGAACAGTTCAAACTGCCTGCCGTTGTGAAATTCACTAAGATTTGCTGCTGCTCATCAACTAGTTTGGTTATGCATATGTATTATTAACAGCTTTTTTTATACGATGTGTATGTGAACAGAGAGCGAGAGAGAGATCCATATTAAGAGAATAATAAGAAAAAGATAGTATAAAAAAATCCCAATGTCGGTACAATATACTTTTTGGTCGGTGCTGGTGCTGTGTGTTCATATAAAGCTGTAGTATGTATTTGTGGCATGCGTTTGTGGTATGTATCTGAGTTTCAACTTGGATTGCGTAAATGGTGGATCAGTTTTTATTTATTTTAAAGAAAACATAACTATTGTTCACTGTTGACATCGAAACAGCTGCAATATTAAGGTTTACTGAACTCAGAAGCAAACTATCCATTAAATGCATATTGTTGCCAATTGCCTACATTCCAGCTTCGCTGCATGAAAAAAGGTAGGCGAAGGTTGCAACATAAAGAAATATATGAGATTTTAAACATGCTATCGGAATAGATTGCAAGGTAAAGTTTCATACTACCTTGGCTTTTTCATCCTAACTTACGAGAGAAAGTGTGCTCCTGTTAATACCATAACTTCTCACATTTATATGACGGTACTATCTTTCGCCTTCGTTAAGCCTAGTAATCTTTTTTACAACTAAACTCAAATAAAAACAAACTTCTCAAAACTGCGTTTAAGGCAAAACCCTTTAGAGTTGGAGAAGTTTTTATAAATATGTATTGTCTGGTTATGTTAATAATCAATTCATAAAATCTGCAGTAATTATAATCCACAATGAATAATGAAATGAAGAAAGCTTTCGATATAACGCCAAAAAAAACAAAACATGTAGTGACATCTGTATGACGAAAGGGGCCTTCAATATTGAGAGGTGAAACGAAAGCAGTTTATATTAAAGGAGAAACATTTGCAGTTAGGGGCAATGTCTAAAGTTTTTTTATTGTGCTTTACCTTCTACATAATTTAGAAATAAAAAAAGTTTTTCCGAGCTTTAGCAACATGCTCTCACTATGCTAAATACAGGGAAATTTAATTTTTGTGAGAGTATAACTTTTTTTAATGTATTAGTGAGCGCAGTAATCTTTCTCACTTATACTTAGACAAAGCAAAGCTTTTTTAAAAAACACATATCGCGATTCTAAGAATTATAGGTTTTGTGTTTTTTTCACATCTGCTATTAACAACAAACCCTTTTTCTCTTTCTAACACGCTATAAGAATGTGTTCCAAAGGCAGCAATGCATTTTGATTACAAGAATGAGTCATCAACAAGTTTAAAACAATCATATGATGTGAATTATATATATATATATATTTGCTTTTGTTCAAATACATTGCGTGCATATCGCTGTACGTACATATAATGCCGGTGCAAAAAAAAAAAGAGAAGAAAAAGGAAAAACAAATCCTAAAGTAAATAATAAAATTAACAGTATTGATAACTCTATCTAAATAGGACTTGTCCGGCTGGCAAGCTAATATTTGAACTTGTACAAGGTTAAGAAACTTCGGGCCTACTTTTGCTGAATAATTTTAACGATTTAATATATAAATATCGGCTTATTGACCTTATTTCGCTTCAATTAGTACGGAAGAGCAGAGAAACCGGAATAAATAATTCGCTTTATATAAAGCCAGAGCAGCAGGTATAAAAAGTAAATATAAATGAAGCAAACAAATGATTTTATTACCACTAAGAATACTCAATAACGCCCTATATATATGACTCATTACTCAGTCAAAGCACTATCAAATATGAATGATAATGTGAAGTAATCTTGAAGTAATATCAATGCTTAAAATTATTATTTCAATGTTTATTTTATCTAATCTTGCCTATTTACTTTAAATCTCAAAAATATTAATTTAGAAAAAAAATATCGTCCATACACAACTTAACTACTACTACTTAACTAGTTATCTGCTTGTATCTGCCGTATTAAAGTTAAGTCGAAGATAAAGTTTAATGACAGCTTAACAAATTGATAAATTTGAAAATTCTCAACTATTTTTAGATAATAATTTGTACCTTCAGCGAAAAAATTTTGCGGACAATATTGCCTTAAGCACATAAGCACATAAGACAGGTGGCAAACGAGCAGTTAAACTGATAATATATTAAGTAATATAAGTAAAAAAATTTTTAAAATTGTCTAAAACCTTTAATTATGTCTTAGATGAGCGAAGCAATAACGAAGGTGTCCTCCATAATCGTCCTACGAGATTTTCAGGAACGAATGAGGAAAAGAAAGTCTTTTAAATTGGTTCCTTAGATCAAAGTAGCATTTTTGCGCATGAAACACATGTGCGAGTTGTCGATCATCTGTATTCATCTTTGCGTCGGATCGTTAATGAATATATTTCTACTGACATGCCCTCGGTAAAATTCTCTTTCATTTTCTAAAGCAAAATTTATTGCTTCGACTAAGATGCGTTAATCGAATGGAAGACGTGTAAAGAAGCTCACAGAAAGAGCTGAAACGGCACATCTCAACCAACTTACCGACTACGTGCGCAGGATTACGTTAGATGGTCGTGCTGCAAGCTTGGTTGAAAGGCGCAAATATGCCATGGTCAAATAACCCCTTTTCCGATGGATATGTGACCCTTTACGGGTTTTGAAATGTTTGCGACTACAATAACAAAACGTAAAGAGAAGAGCTCGGCAATGTAAGAGAAAAAGGTAATCAGGTAATCACCTCAAATATCTTCTTTCTTCTTTAGTGGCAAAAAGAACAATGGTAGCTTTTTTTTTTTTTTTTCTTTTTCCCTTGGAGTAAAACAGGAAGAGATCGTTGTTTTCGTTTCAAGAAAAGTTGTAGCTTGATATAAAAAATTTTGGACATATAAGCCACAAATCTATTGGCTTAGTCCATCTCTGTTCAACATACCAAAAAAAAAAAAAAAAGATATAAAAAATTTAGTTCCGAATTATAAAGAGTCCAAGTATTATTAATAATCTGCAAATTTATTAATTGTTTTAGACACTCATTTTTTTCGGCTCCATCAGATTAATCATTCTATGACCGACAAAGTAAAATCGTTAATATAAAGAAGAAAAAAAACAAAATAAGTACGTAACATTTGAGGTGATAAAACATAAAAACATACGTGGCCCAATAAAAACATCAACAAAATAGTTTCAAGTTTTATAAGAAATTTTTCAGAGAAATGAATTAAAATGAATGGCTTACCGCACATTGTGTGTGGTTTATGCAGTTCTTGAAGAGCATATAAGTTTTTCTCATTCGGCTTTCACGTTGATGAAATTGCAATTTAATAATAAGGCGTTGAATTGAAATTATGATAATATTGTTTTCTTTCGCAACGTTTTTATCGCACATCAAGCAGTTGTTGCGAAGCGTAAAGAAAATTGCAATATTATCGGCAAACTTACCGCTAACACAGTTTTGTACGTTTTTAATATATTGCATAGCATACACATATAAACTGCGAGTGCGTGCTTTGCTTAGTTTGTTTAGTGCCGAAATAAACTCTTCCGCCGATAAAACGGTTATATTAGTCAGCATAGTATGGGTAAAACTAGAATTTGGCTCTTTAAATGTTTTTTTGATTTGATTTTCTAACAATGCTTAAAAGTATGCTGTAATAAATCGAACGCAAGTAAAAAGACAACACTTGTAAACGCTTTTAAAACTATTCTTAGAATTGATAGAATTATTTAAGAATGTATTTATTGTTTTTATTAACAATGTTATTGATAATTTTCACGTTCTTTCCTCATTAGAACTTATTCACGCAATTACGCAATTATGAACTTTGTAAAAGAACTCCTTAGCAAAAAAGCATTTTCCAATTTTTTTTAGTAGTTTTTGCACTGAGTAGTAAACAGCTGATATCGCTTTCACATAAAATTCGTTTTCTTTTTCTTGTGGATTAAATTAAAAAAACCACACACATCCGCAACTATTCAACGCGCAGCAAGCAAAAAAAACTGAATGATGTGTTATAGAGACTCCGGAGTGGTTTTTTGAATTTGCGAGAATTCAATTTCCTTGCTCTCTAGAACCCCGAGTGGCGTTCTCAATTTGCAAGGTGGAATTTTTTTTGCTCTCTAGACTCCCGAATGGCTGTTTGAATCTGTACGAATTCTAATTGCCAGAGTAAAATTTATTTTGCTGTACAACTCAATCATTCTCACTACGATTTGCGCTCATGCACATGTTCCTTTTGCTATGCTGCCAGGATTGCCAGCGTTTCTTTTAAAAATTGTATATACGTTAATTCCATTCCGTAAGAAATTGAATTGTACTACAAAGAACTCATGTTGCTTAAACGACATTTTTCCAATACGCCGGAAAAAACAGTTACAAAAACAATTCTTAATAGAAACTTATTGCCAAATACTATTCTCGCTCATTTACTTACTCTCTAAAGTAACAAATTCTTATTTTCCATATACACAAACACACATTAAGGTCTCTCTTGTCCAAATTATCTGCGAGAGAAAATTCTGAGAGAAAATATGGTATTCAAAAAATGTTCTCAACTATAGTAAAACACAGAAATATTGTATCGAGACGAATACTTTTTACCGTTATACTGACATTAAGTAAAAGCGTTTATTAATTAATATTACATTTGTAATACACGCCGTTTCGTGGTTTCGTTAAGTGATATTTGCGTAAAGAGTTGATTTTCGCCCCAAAGTCTTCGTAGACTAACACATATAGTGCAAATACTTTTGTAGATCAATATCGTCAACTTTCATCATATATTTGCAACCGAACTGAGAAATTCTCCCTCTAAGCGACAAATAAACCGTAAATTATTAGAAAAATTAAAACATATAGGCGATGAATATGAGAGCATTACAGAAAATATTATTACTTTAGGATGCTTATGCTTGCTTAACTTTGCACACGCATTGATATTAACTGGCTAACCCAAAAGTTATTTTACCCCTCCTTACCATAACTATACATTTGGTTTTTTCGGAGTCTCCAATTGTAGTTCACACATATTAATTCATCAAAATCCTCCTTAAATTATTGCTTTCGATAAATTGAAAAGAATGATATATCGACACCTTAGATTGAATATAAATGGAATATATTGAACGATTTCCTATTCACGGCATGTTTTAGGCGCATGATGCAATAACTAAGGTTAGTTACAGCAGATGTTTAATTTCGATTTCATTATCATTAGCGTTTGATGCTTCCTTAAACACTTGTAGAAACTCGTTATACCTACAGGAAACAGGGGGGCGAACTTGTTGGAACAGAGAGGCGGAGTTGTTGGAACAGGCAGGCGAACTTTCCACGTAAAATGTCTACATTTTGAACATTGTTATTTTTTTGGGCTATGTCTTGTGATTGTTTTGTATGATTAGTTTCATTTAAATCATCCGCTTGTTGTTGTAAAAGAGTTTTGTTTATTTTTCACATAAGGACGCATAGAGACTCTTACCACAAGAAAATGGAAAATAACAGTTGATCCACCGCCGTCAGCAATTTAGTCGCATCCTGAATTATTGTCAATTTATACGCAACAATTTAGTCGCGCCCTGAATTTAAACGTATCTTATGTTTACAAATAGTACCAATGAAATGCTATTCAAATATATATTAAATATTCTTCTATATAAATTTTAGATTTGCTAACAAAAGGGGGCACATTCAAAATAGAAATTCGAATGCTTTTCTATGGCATTCCCGCTAGGAGAAGGTATTAATTGCTTTTCTTTTTTTTTTGATGAAACCAGATGAAGACATCGCATACTTGTTTACACGAAAATCGGTAAGAGAAACCTTTTAAGAAAAACACATACTTGATGAACGTGGAATTAAGAATCGACTAAAACCGGATGATTTATTTTAAATAATTTTCGTAGAACGACTTTTAAAGGCTAAACACTTTCATTAAGCCCAATAAAATTGACTGGAATTTTGATATTCATGCGAATATTTTAAAGCCGGTTGCGGAATTTCCTAGATTTGTACTTCATAATTCATGTACGTTTTAGGCCGATAACTGTGATGAGTTTCTTTCTTAGATTGATTTTCAATATTTGCAAATTTACCCGCAATAAATACATTAAATAATTAGAGACGACGGAATATATTTTATATAATGCAATAATAAATATAGTACAACCAATACTATTACTACT